CACTGCTGCTTCCAGCCCGAGGGCTGATTTAGCGGTCTAGTAAGAATGCACTGAATCAACCACTGATCATGCTCCTGTCGATTCCAGTACTCTACTGGGTCACAAGGAATAAGGAGCGTCAACAGGAGAGAAACTCTCCCATCGATCCCACCACAGTGGGGACACCACAGTAAGTTAAACTAAGATATGTTGACTCCAACTATACTACTCACAGAGCTGGAGTTAAATACCTTAGTTCAGTGGTTTCCAACCTTTAAGCATAAGATCACTTTTTGAATTTAAATACAATCCAGGATCTACCTCAAAACCAAACACCCTTGCCCCGCCTCCTTTCCATCCCTTGAGGCCCCGCCTCCTTCCCATCCCTTCTCTGAGGCCCTGCCCCTGCTCACTCCATCCTCCCTCCCCTATCCTCACTTTAATGAGGCTGGGGGCAAGAGTTTGGGGTTGCTGGAGGGGTTCAGGACTGGGGTCAATATTCAGAATGCAGGCTCCAGCTGGGCACCACTTACCACAGATGGTTTCTGAGTGGCTAAGGCAGGCTCACCTCTGCCCTGGCCCTGCACCACTCCCAAAAGCAGCCAGCAAACTCTTTCCATCCCTGCCCCCCTCTGTGGAGACGGGGTACAGGGTGGAGGGAGGGGCACCCTGACATCAGCACTCCCCCCTTCCTCTTCTCCCTATGCCCTGCACAGCAAGCAAGAGGCTCCCAGGAGTGAGAGGCACTTCCAGGGCAGAGGGCAGGAGCAGCATGGAAGTGCTGAGAGGGGCAGATGAAGTGCTAGCACTTGATAGCCTCCTGGTCAAACCTCTTAGGATCACCTGTCAAAGGTTCCAAGATCTACCAGTAGATCCTGATCTACTGGTTGGTGACCACTGCCATAGTTCAACACTGCCTCCTAGTATAAACCTGGCCTAAAGTTGGTGTGCCTAGACATTTCTTCTAGCTTACTCTTAATGTAAATTCATCAACTATGCTTAAAACTTGCTAAAGTGAGAAAGTAATATGGAATCCAGGAAATTATCAGTTTGTATAATCACCAATGTGTTAGTTTATTCATTTAAAAAAAAAAAAAAAACCACTCAGCTTAGCGTCGTTAACTTACAAAAAATACTGTAGGAAATGAATTCCTGAATAAAAGCCACATGATATAAAGCTAGGAAGATAATTGAAAATTACAGTAATTTAGATAAGTTAAATTGTAGATAGGTAACTTATGAAAAGGCACAGTTCCACACAATCAACCAACCGCTGAAAGATACAATAAAAAATAACTAGATCAGATGCTTACTGTACGTGTCCATGGAGAATCTGAAGTTTGGGTAGACCTTAACAACATTCTTCAGTTCTTCTATGGTAAGGTCCCTGAATTTATACTGCACACAAAACAAAAAGAGGATATTTCAACATCAAAGATCCACCTCCTTCATTAAACTGGACAGGATGGGTGCGGAAGAATAAGAGAAGGCAGAAAGAGACAGCTAAGGGATTACCTATAGATTTGACATTAAAAATCAATTCTGAAACCGACTGGGCCATAGGATGCATAATCGTATCTGAATACCAACATCTGCAATTATATGTCTGTAAAATATATTTGAAAAAAGATGAAGCTGTATAATTATATTGTTTGCTAACAGCAAACTCTATACTGGCTTTCACAGAACCAATTATATTTTTAAGGGTTTTCGTAACAATTTCCTCACAAATATATGAAAGTGTCTGAAAAAAGTATTTTGGATTAAAATGTGGTGTTTAGTATCTTTCCCAGAAGTGAATTACTTTAGAGAGGTTGAGCAAAACCTATGGAGTCACTGAGTTGAGGGTGAAGGAAAAACCCAACTTTTTATTTAAGAAGTTAGCCACATTCTGAGGAACACGAATGCCTTTGGCAAAACCCGCCTTCAAGCTACTTCCTTTGAACCATTCCCACTCCATAGCTTCCAACCCCCAGACCGCTTATCCCCCCCCACCGTTTTGTAAACGTGGGACTGTTCACACTTCCAGGATTTAAACACTCTGCTCCAAACTGTGAGAAACTTGAATTTAGACGGACACCCCAACCCAGGAACGCGGGGCACTCGGGGGGCTGAGGAGAGCGCCAGGGGCGCGCTCAGGGGGAATGGGAGCGCGTGAGGCGTGTGGGGGGGGGCACAGACC